AAATTGAAGCCAAAATGAAGAAAAGAGAAAAATATTATAAAAAAAAACAAGGCAAGTTGTATTAGTAATATTCACCCTCAAACATTAAAAGGCTTGAAATGAATATTTAATTAATAATAATCCCATATATTTATATACATATATGAATATTGTTAGTTGATAAGACGATGGTTAGTTGAAGACCAAATACATTAAATTAATTTTGAAATTAATCACTGGTGGTGGGAAAAGAAGGACAATTTGTTGATCCTAGTTGACATTATTTTAACCCTAAAATTTTGTACAAGCCAATCCATTTCCATGACCAATGATATAAATATTAATAAACTTCACTACTAGCATAATTATGATTAAGAGATTAATTGATTCCCATTATCTGCAACAGTTAAGTGATTAACGTGCCAAGTTAGTAAATCGGAAATGGTGGGGCCCCTGCATGTTCTGGCAACCTACGTATTGTTCTTATCATTTGTTCGCAAGAAAAGTCCAACAAGGAGAGGTCCCTCCTAAATTCTAATAGATTCTTGTCCTTTTCATTACGTGCATTGAACACTGAAGCTACCATCGAACTCATATGTGCCAAAAAAGGGGAAAAATTAAAAAGAAATAACGAATATAATAATTGTGGAATGTAAATTTTATATATAATTTATTGTTTTGTACGTGTCACTTTTTCGATAAAAATAGATAATGCGTAAATTTAAAGGACCACTTTCATAATCAGAGGGAAGAGATTTGTCCAAAAAAAAAAAGAAAAAGGAAAAAGAATCAGATGAAAGAGACAACGACAAAGTTTACAAGTTGATGATGAAAGTGATGGTATTGTTAATTAATGTCATGTATTTTCTGGAAAACAATACAGCTTTTTTTTTCACTATGGAGAATTACATGTATCATTATTAATCTGTCAATCTCATCTTCCCATATACATCTTTTCTTTCCAATTTTAAGAGAAGTTTGTCTATATTTTGAAAATAAAATAATTTATGTCATTTAAAAAAAAAAAAAGAGAACAATGGGAGATTTACCTTTTATTTTATAGGAAGTTTGTCAAATTTTAAAAAAGAAAAGAGATGTCCAAATAATTTTAGTAAAATTCAAAAGAGTATTTTTTATTGACTTTGAAATAGTTATAAATTAACTACATGTCCACAGATTTAGTCTCTGTGTGAACCCATGAATTTAATTTGGAGTTCCCGAATTCAAAACTCAATCACAACTGAAGAAGATATTAAAAAATAAAAAATAAGTGCAAACAGATAATGTAAATTTTATTCATATTTTTCCTTTTGCATTATTCTCTCTATGCAAATATCAATTTCCTAAAGCTCGAGCTCGTTACTGTTAGATATTCTTATATTTGTACAATTATTATCAAGCTGGTAAAAATTAGCATCTTTTTTTTTTAATGATAAGAAAAATTAATATCTTAAAATCAAATAAAAATCTGCAAAGCTAAATAAGATTGGAGATTTTCCCGTTTATAAATCACCAAATATGAAATATCTACACAATGATGGAATTTTTTTTTTTTGGACTGAATGATGGAATTGACAATAAAGTCAAGATAAGTTAGATAAGAAATTGACGGAAACTTTGTTGAAAGTGCCATGTCACTGTACATCTGATGTTTGCAACTTACGCTTCGTTTATCTTTGTTTAATGAAATACGCTTCTTGTTAATGATCCTATACACTTACGCAATTGTTCTACTACTTCTTATACTTAATATAAAACCCGAGTATCTAATTTGGAGATATTAAAAGGTAGCTAAATCATCTTAAAGTATTTATATTTATATTTTTCTCTTAACTAATTTTCCTTACTTATAAATTAATATATAATTCAATAATACACAAAAGTATTTTAAAAAGATCATATAATATATGTTATAATTGAGTAATTTAGTAATTTTTTTAATCTTTCTAACTTAGGCAACTAGATCTTATATTAAGATCAGAGGGAATACTATAAAAATAAGATTAATTTGTAGCTCATTCAAATGAATCATCCACTTCAGAAGATGTAAATTATATTTTAGGCGTTTCGAATTTTGGAAAATAATAATGATATTTTCCAATGCATTAATGGATTTGAGTGGGCTCGGTTTAATCAGTTGTTGGGCCTCTAAGTTCAACCCATTTATAAGCTTGGCCTGTTACTGAAAATCAACGGAATGTTCATTTTCAAAGCAGAACAAAAAATCAACAACATGAAATTAAACGCTAAAGGAGGCTAAAGAATATTTGGGCCGAGCCCATTGGGCTTTGCAGATCTTTTCTTTGGAGCTGAACAAGATAACAGACATGTGCAAACAAAAGTATCATTGATATTATTCACCAAAAAAAAAAAGTATCATTGATATTACTAACCGGAGTTGGATATAGTGAAAAAGGTTAATATCTCACAATATAATGAATAAGGATTGGAATCCCTACTGGGAGAGGTGAACACAGTTAGTACCCAACAGTATCTTGAATAGGATTACTTTTAATAAGAGGATATATATGTTTTAGGAAAAAAAAAAGTCATTGATATTATTTTTTTCTTCCAAAACAAGAAGCTATAATTAGTAGTTATCTTTTTCTTTTTACCAGAAATTAGTAGTTATCAAATATCAACGCTCGTGACAAAAATAATATTGACAGAAATATTACAATTTATAAAATAAAATTATAGGAATGCACTTTCCAACAAAGTCAACCTTCACGATCTCTTTTGAACGGACTGTGAGACTATCCCCATTGGCCCCGATACAGGTCTGTCGGCAAACATGACTTTCTTTCTTTCTTTCTTTATTTTTAATTTTTTTTGGCTATTTTTCATAAAATGAAAATAACACATCTGTCCATCATTCTACTGCACGGATTCTTTGATATAAAAGTTATTTTGATATTTAATTTAATTTTAAGTATAAAACTCTAATATGTTTTATTTTTTATATTTATTTTTTTAAGATAGTCCTTATAATAGTTACTCATGTTAACGGTTTTATTAATAATTCTAATTAATACTCATAATAAGCAAGGGTATTTTAGAAAAAAACAACATATATTTATTACAAATGATTAACTTAACTAATTTTTTGAATATACTCAAATTAGTCAATTAACTCTTATATTAAAGATAAAAAATAATACTTATTAATGGAAATTCCTTTAATAAGTACAAATATGTAATTAGTAAGAATAATTTGGAGAATAAATTATAACTTTAAAGAACTTACTTGTATAAAATATATCTCCATTTAATTTAATTCATTTCAAAGTGCTTTACAAAATAAAGTTCGCCACTGTTGTAATGTCATAATTAGTTTTTTTCTTTTCAATAACATTTTAAGTGAAAAGACATCATCATTTAAAAGAAAAATTAATGTTGTCAACAAATTTTAAATTTCCATCTTAATTCATGTGATTCGATTAAAAATGATTTTGTATTAAGCACGAAAGGGAGTATGTTAGAAAGATCGGGATATTTACATGAAGGGATTTTGAGATTTTTATACTACTCATTAATTAAAAAAAAGATTTGAACCCGTGAAAAATATTATTTTAATTCACAATAAATGGAGGAAATATGTTAAATTTCATATCAATGTCAAATTAACATATAATAAACAGTAAATAAATAATAAATAATTTTAATTTTGGATCATATATTCATCCTCTATCCCACTGTCAAGCATGTGGGAGTGAAGAACAATTAGGAGCCTCTGCCTCAGGTGGTACTGTGCCACCAAACCCTCTCAGTTCTTAAAACGATAATAATAATAATAAAGAACAAGGACATACCAAAAAAGAACCCCGCAAAATTAATGGAGATCCTTTGTTGGTTAGAATTTCATCATCATCAAATAATGCTATTCAAGTTAACAAATCTTTAAAGTCATGAGCATGCTTATAGTCAATTATCACATTTTAAATAGAATTTTGGAGAAATCTCAAAAATACCACTTGAATTTCAGACTTTCACATTAATTATTTACTACAATTTAATAGTAATTGATTACACTTAAAAATTAAATGACAATACTTTTTGTAGTAATTTCTTATTTAAAATTTTGAAATTTAAGAGATATTTTTTAAAAATTTTCCTAAATTTTTTCGGAAAGTTATAATTGAAAAAGGATTACTTAAAATTGTAGCTATTTTCATCATTAGTATCAATCAGTTCATATAAATGAAACATACAATCCATAATAAACAACACCGTGTTACTAGAGGTTGACATAAATTTTTAACTATAACTCAACAATAATAGCAAATCATGTAATAATAAATCTCACAGATCCTAATAACGGCTTTAATTTATTTATTGAGGATAAAATATGCCTTAAGATTTTTAATATAAGGTCTACTTTATAGTACAAATTACACTATAATATATGTCTCATATTAAAAGGTGGATGAGCATATTTTAAAATTCATTCTGTCTCCTCTCTTATGTAATACTGTCTTTAATATAAAAATTTGTTTAATTTTTATTTTAATTCTAAATATAATATTATAATACATTTTATTTCTCATATTTATTTATTTATTTTCAAGATAGTCTTTATAGTAATATCACAATACATTTTATTAACAAAATATTATAAGAAAAACAATACCTATTTATTACAAATAACTAATTTAACTAATTTTTTAATTTACTCAAATTGATCTACTATTTCTTATATATAAAAACGTAATATTCCTTCGATCCTAAATATAATATTTTTATACATTCAGCACCGAAAGAGTATTTGTTAATTGTTAAAAATGACTAAAATTCAGTTCACTGGACAAATATATTCAACAACAGCAAGAAACATCATCATTTTTGAGCACATGCACTTACCAAATCTTTGACTAAATAATAAATAAAAAGTCATATAACGTCCAACAGAAACGCTCATGCGCAACAGAAAAACAACCGTGTCTTTCCATTCTCCTTGTCTTCTTCTCAACGCTGCATCTACTTCACACACCATTCTTAATTCTTAATTCACCTGACGTCCGTTGGCTGAAACACAAGTTCTTTATATACTGTTACAGAAATCACAACTCAAGCAGAGGATTACGTGCCAGTGTGCTTCCCATGATGCCTGATACTTAGTTTTACAAAGAGTGTTCCTTCATGATGCATCTCACAATGAAAAAACCTCAACAAACCACATTCTCTATCATACATAGCTAATCATAACATTTCTAAGATAGAAATTATTACAAGGAAAAAAAAAAATCCCAAAAATTTCTACATGCAAAACAAGAACCTCAGGGATTTATGAAGACATGAAACAGGACAGCATTCTTAATACTTCACAGAGGTTGTTGCATTGTCACGACCAGAGGACTTGTGACAGAGTGCTTCCCATCAGACCAAACCAGATGGCCACTCTTCACAGATGAACTTCCAGGAGAAAGCTTCACAGCCCTAGCTTGAACCCTAAGAAGGAAGTTCAGTTTCTGACCAAGCCTCCTAAAAGAAAGAGTATCAGGCTTCACTGTGACCACCATCCCTCTAGGAGGCCTCACAGTGGCTTTATACACAGAATTTGCATCCCCAACATTGGTCACAGTTCTGATAAAGTGAGTGGACATTTTCTGCTTCCCATATTGCTGAAACACAGCAGAGAATGAAGGGTAATTCAGATTCCCAGAATGTCCTGCTCTTTTAGCCCCACTACAATCTGCTCCTTTTCTGGTAATCACTTTAATGTTTTGGGTTGTGTAATTGGAGTTGCACAAGAAATCAACATAGCCATATGTGTTAATGTCGTAGATCAAACCAGGATCCATGGCTTTCTCTGGATGAACATGGCCGGACCCATAGTCAAAAACTGAAGAAACATTACCAGTAGACTCATCAAGCATTTTGTTTCCTCTGTTGTCAACTGTATAAGCAGTAGTCATAAGAGCTGATCTTATAGCAGCAGGACTCCAGTCTGGGTGTGCTGCTTTTAACAAAGCAGCTAAACCAGAAACATGTGGGCAAGCCATTGATGTACCAGAAAGAATGTTGAATTCAGTCCTGCGAGTATCTGAAGCAACCCCAGAAGGTCCTACTTTATCAGGCCAAGCTGCAAGTATGTTCAACCCTGGAGCTATAATGTCTGGCTTTAGAATCTCTGGAGATTCTGGATTTGGTCCTCTAGCTGAAAATGATGCCACGATTGGTGCTCTGATTCCCAGTTGTGTTCCTTTGAATACGATCGTTGCTGTGGGAATTGAATGGGATTTAGAAGATTCTGAGATGTATCTTCGAATCTCGTCACCCCCGGTGGCACCTACGGCGGTGGCCGGTAGCACGTGGCAGTCGGCGACTAGTCCTTCGCCGTCGAAAACCCCATTGGCTAAGATCATTCCGATTCCTCCTGCTTTTTTCACTACTTCTCCCTTTGCACCTCTCGAATTGATGCCTCTGTCACATACAACGATCTTGTTCTTCACCAAGTTTGGATCCAATGAGCCTTCCAAGCAAAGTGATGACGAATAACCATCACTGCCTGCTTCTGAACCGGCATACACAATCGGGTACATCCGACCTGGAGTTAGACCCGGTCCTCCATAGATGCTAACCCCAGGTATGATTTTCCCGTTTCCGAGCTTAACGTCTGCGGGGAAGTTTCTGTCTATGGTTCCGGCACCGACTGTGGTGACCCATGGGGCGACATTGGTGACGGTGAGGCCGCCCGGGCCACCGTTGCCAGCCGAGGCAGAGACGAAAACCCCAGCGCTGGAGGCTCCAAAAGCGCCGATGGCAATGACGTCAAGGAAATACGGTACTACGACGCCTCCGACACTGAGTGAGGCCACGTCGACACCGTCGGCAACGGCGGCGTCAAATGCAGCAAGGATGTCGGAGTCATAACAGCCACCTGTCCAACAGACTTTGTAGATGGCAAGTCGAGCCTTTGGAGCCATTCCGGCGGCCATTCCCTTAGCATAGCCGAGAGTCGAAGCTGGGAAAACGTACCTTCCGGCGGCAATCGAAGCTGTGTGAGTTCCGTGACCATCAGAGTCTCTCGGCGAACGATATTCCGACGACTCGTTCATCTTCCCATTGGTAGCTTCGTAGCCCTTACTGAAGTACCGAGCTCCGATCAGCTTCCTATTACAAGAGCTCGCAGGAAAGTCTTTCCCAGCAACGCACTGGCCCTTCCACTTGGGAGGGACAGGACCCAAGTCGTGATCGTTGAAGCTCTGCCTCTCTGGCCAAATACCAGTGTCAATGACACCGATTACAAGATCCGACCCGGAATCGGTCTCCTTGAGCAGACCGGCACTGTCGGGCGTCTTGAGCCCCAGGAACTGAGGGGAACGCGTGGTCTGTACATGGCGAACCTGCTCAGGAATGACGGAGACTACTTGGGAAAGGGACTGAAGCTTCTGAACCTCTAAAGGTGAAAGCTTTGCAGAGAAACCGTGAAACACCGTTTCGTAAGTGTGAAGAATGCGACTCGTCGCTTCAGAAGACGAAGTATGGGCAGAGATGGAAGCAAGGGAGGACTCATACCAGTGTCTGTGGGTAGGGAAAATGGAAGGCTTGGCTTCATGCTGAACTTGAACAATGAAGGTTTTCGTTTCAGGGTCGGGAGAAGAAGAAGAAGAAGAAGCTAACACTAGTAAAAGGGATGCTACGGCAGAGAAAAATGGGAGAAAGGAGAAGGTTGGCGCCATTGAAGTAGAAGATCAACACAGCGAGGTTTGGCGTGCTGGGGTGAGTGAGGACAAGATTTAAAGGAAGGAGAAGGACAGAAGGATGAAATGCAGGTGAGTATGAGTGGTGACAAAGAAAGGTAGATAATGGAGGTACTGTGAAAAACGCAGTAGAGAGAGAAGGAGCTAGTTACAGAGCAGCGAGGGGAAGGAAGGTGATGTGGAGTTGTGTTGGGAAGCGGTCGTGATTTTTGAATATTTTCAGGTCACTTTCTATGTCAAATTGGAATCTAATAAGCATATCTTCATCATCAAATGTTTTTCTTTTGATTAATTGAAAGATTTAAACTTAGAAACGGGTCCCCCCAAAAAAAAAAAACTCAGAATTACTTGTATCCTCACCAACTTTCATACTACTGCCTGGTGTCTCTGATCCGCTGTCAGTTTTTTTGTAACACTGACACTTCTTGCGCGGGGTGAGCTCCCTCTTTTAGTTTTCAGATATTTCATCAAGTAACACTGGACATTTGGAAAAAATTTTTTTTATTGCAAATATGATAATAGGGATAATTATATTGAGATAATAAAGAAAAAAAATAATTGTCAATAAGTTATTATAATAACTGAGTAGTTATTATATCATGCTCTAAAATATATCATTACAGATTATTATCACAGAGTCTTTTTAATAATTATGTTGTTTTTTTCCCAATATAATAATAACATCCGAGTAAGTTTATCTTTGATGGGAATATTAGCTAAACAATGCTAAACATTTCATGATAGATATCAAATGTGAAGTTGGAAACAAAACAAAAAAAGATATCAAATGTGAAGAATAAATTAAATAATTTTTTCAAATACTGTATAAAGATTTTTACTATACTAAACAATAAACTACAAAATTTAAAGAATATGCTTGATAAATTATCAACAATAATTTATTTTCAAAACTAGATCGGATAAAATGGATTATATTATTTTCAAAACTAGATGAATAATCTAGTTGAGAAATACCACTGTATCTTTAATTGATGTAAAGCTCGATAACTAATTTAGAAATATTAAAAAAATTAGTTAAATTAATTAATTGTAATAATTGATTAGAGCTCGATAACTAATTTAGAATATTAATTTAATTATGTTTATTGGAACTATATTTTATTAAAATCCTCTGCAATCAATTGTGAAGTCTTATGTTTAAAACTAAATCTAACTCCTAAGTAATTTTCATATTAGCCATTGGAGGCAGTATATTGAATGTAGCCTGATAGCAAATAATTGAAGAAGGCAGACTAGCTATTAGGAATTAATAAAACTCATTAAAGAGTTAGAATGGTTCACAAAGCGATGAACTCAAAGTCATTAAACAAAATAGTGAAATACCCAAGAGTTCGTCTATTGTAAATTATATATACATATATTCTTAATTTTCTCTATATTAAAATCTGGACAGCATTCATATAGATATATCCAGGCTACTGTTTAACCTTCTTCCCTTACTATAATGTTCTCGTGATGCTATAAATTAAAGGTCAATTGATTGTTTTATTTTAACTTTAGACAATTAGAATGACACATATATTTAATTATTAATAATCATGCACAATCAGCCAAAATAGTTGTGTTTCGTGGGAGACAGATTGATCAATCGATGATCATCAATAAGGCATGAAAAGAGATTCCATGGATTTGTCTCTGTGGTCACAAAGTTTTGTATTTTTAACTCAGTGTGTGAGAGTGTCTATGTTCTTTTGTTTTGGGGTGGGGTTTAGTTCAAAGCAATCAACCACCGAGAAAAAAAGGGGTTCAAGTGCAAGGTGATGTAGTAACAAAATGCCAATTATTATGCCATTGATTTTGCTTCTAGTTTTGAAACTAATTAGGGTCTTATCATGCAATGCATACGTACATATAACATTGTGAAGCCTTTTCTTGCCCTTTAGGGCTCCTTACATATCTTTCTCGGGTTAAAATGCCAATGATAATTAATGTGGTTAACTCAGTAGCTAATAAGAAAAGTTTAACTTAATCCTGACAATCTATGATATATGATATCAGATATTCGTCAAGAAGAATGAATGAGTTCAATCGGTAAATCAGATTAAACATCACAAAAACTCATTATGAATAACATATCAAATCAATGAAAGTTGGATTAAATAGGAGGGATTCAATTACTCTAAAGTAAGGTAGAAGATTTAAATCTTGTTATACATGGAAAAAAAATTAATAACTTTGGTAGAGCTACTTTTGATATAAGACTTGACGATACTTGAATTTAAACTAATATTACTAAATACCATATAATTATATGAAAAAATAAAGGGACAAAAAAGAATTAAATGAGATGACACATGGAGAGCTAACGCAAGTGAAGGAGTAATTGGAGGGAATAATTGAGTTGAAGCTAATAGTAACGTGAATTTATAGCTGGATAATTAATACTCCTCATGTTTTAAATATATGACCTAATTATTGAGTTAGCTTTGGTTCTAAATATAAGATCCATTTCTCATGTTTATCAATTTTCTCTAAATTACCCTTATGGATACTCCCTCAGCCATAATCAAGTAGAAGAGGAAGAATGAGTATTAAGAAAGATGGTTATGGTATTTTAGAAAAAACATGTCTTGTTTTTTATAATTAACTAACTTACCTAACTTCTTTAATATAATCAAATCAGTTAAATGGGTTTTATATTAAGGACCGGAAGAGTAATATGTTAAGAGCTTTCAGAATTAATTAAGTAGAGTGTGTTTAGGCTTTTAGTCTAGTCATTGATATTAAATAGGAATGAATATGATGATGAATGCACCAAATTAATTAAATTAACAAGTCGAAGGCTCTTTCAAAAGGTGTTGGGGCCAGCATTGGCATTGTTGTGTCTGTCTAGAAGTGTCCTCATAAACAAACAAACATGTAGACAAGCTGCGTTTGAGAAACCTAAAAGTAAGTAAGAAAAGGCCATCCACGGGAAATCAAATTTAATAGCGTGCATGGTTAGCTAAGTCGGCAGCTAGATTGGCCACTTGGTGTGTTATTTTGCACGGGCCATCATGATTTACAAACGACTCATCACTCTCTTATTTTTTCTTTGGGCTAATATCACTATTAGTGGTTAAAATTTAATGTCACTTTGATTTTAGTTTCTAAGATTTAAATCAATGATTTTAGTTCATGAAATCTCATTTTGTTTTAATTTTAGTCTTTAAAATTTAAAATAAATGTTTCTGGTTTCTAAAATTTAATCTTATTTTGGTTTTGTTTCATGTTTCAAGGACTAAAAAATCTTAAGGTGGACTAAAATGAAAAATTTCAATGACCAAAACTATTGGTTTTAAATTTTAAGAACGAAAATCAAAATAATATCAAATTTTAAGGACTACAATCACTATTGGTTTTAAATTTCAAGGATCAAAAGTAAAATAAAATAAAATTTTAAAGATTGAGAATGGTATTAACTTTTTTTATTCTTAACGATTGTAATAATCACCTTCTTCCTCCTTCCATTGTTTCTTCTCTTTTACTATATATTTCTCCTATTCTTAATATAAGATCTAATTAAAAAGTTAATATCAGTCTTATATATAAGACATATTACACATGTTTATTAATTTTTTTCTTCAAATTACCTCTATTGATATTTTTTCAATAATAATCAAGTAGAAATGGAGGGAAGAAATCGAGAAAGATACTTAGAATGTTTTAAAAAACATATCATATTAACTAATTTAACTAATATTATTTATCTATACAAATTAATTAATTAAATTTTATATTAAAGACTGGGTTCTCAATTATTCAAATGTATACATCTTAACTAGTTTTTATGTTCTCATGGCAGGAACCTCACATCCAAACAAACTTGTTTTCACGTTTATTCATGTCCGGGGCAGGCCATTTTCAAACATTTGGACCCACCAAAATCCGACTTTAGTTTCTCTTCTCTCCTTTGTCCATCAGGAAAACAAAGCCACCACTGATTGCTGCTCTTAAAACTAGCTATGAGAATGCCCACTTGATTGCCTCAATGTTCTGTATAAGCTTCTTGATAGATCCACAGTTTGATGATCAACTGTGTTCTAAAGTTTCGTACGCGTTGTGTTTTAGATTGCATTGTCTGTAATCTGTTATAAGCGAACAGTCACATATTTAAAATTTTGTTCTTTTATTTACATAACAAAGCCTGGTTTTGATTTTTTTTTCCAATGCCTAACTCACTAAATGTTGTCCATAATAGATTGAAAATTAATTACAATAAATACTATTGCTATCTGTCCCAAGTATAAAACTAATTGGGGTGTTTATTTTTATTTTAATTATTAGACTTTAATTCACTTTATTTCCATCAGCATAATAACAAATACATGTTTATTGCAAACAAACAAAGTTGAAAAATCACATACTTTTCAAAAAAAAAAAGAGATATTAACAATCACTGCTTTAGAATCGTGAAAAATAGTCAACTAATTTGGTCTATAACTAGAAGTAGGAGTTAATGGAATAAAAACTTCAAACAAGTCACCCTTGAGGTTGAGTCCGAGAAGCCTTCGTATATTATCTCTAATTCTTAATATAAAAATTAGTTGACTAATTTGAATGGCTTAAACAAATTAGTTAAGTTAGTTATGTGTAATAAATATGTGTTGTCTGTCTTAAAATACCCTTACTAATCAAGGGTATTAGCTAAAACTATCATTTGATGAAATATTTAACATGTGTAACTATTACAAGAACTATTTTGAAAACATGGATAAATATGATAGACAGAATAAATTAGTATCTTATATTTAAGACCAAATTAAAAGTTAAAGTAACTCTTATATTGAGCATCGGAAGTAGTATTTAAAAAGAAGAAGAGAATCACATTTATATTAATGGCACAGCAATTGAAGTTGAGGCCCCATAATGATGTCAATTAAAAAAGGAGAGGGGGAATGAAAAGGGAAATGATACAGAAATAGTAATAGGTTCAATTGGAGCAAACATGTGGGGTTTCAATAGCTGTGCAAATGCAATTATTAGAAGTCAAGTTATTATGAGTTTTTCAAAGAAGAAGACGAAGAAGATAAGAAGAAGAAGAAGGAGGACAGGGTTGATGAGCATATGCTAGCTAATTAAGTTTGATTCTAAACCAAAGTAAGACCCTTTTTCTCTTTTGGGGCTTGATCTTATCTCCAAAGGAGTCTGCTTTTCCGAAAGATTAGAACGTTCATCACCAAAAGCAAAGCCTTACTTAATTCATGCACGTTTATCCACAAAGTATATGTAGTTTCGGATGAAAATAGCGCATTTTAAAAACATTTTTCAACTATGTACGTACTTCAAAATAATTATAAAAACAATGTAAAATTTCAAATGTTAAGTTAATTTTAACGATTTAAATCTTTTTTTTTGAAAGGGCAACTTGGTAATACTATCATTTAAGTTTCTATCTAAACAATATATCTTTAGGCTTGTTACGTTTTTTATTGCTTTCTCATCTTTTACTTACTTTTGTCAATCAGCCATTCGACCTTACATGATCTCGAAACTTATTATTACTACTATTGTTTTCGCATCGCCGATGACTCAAAAATTTAACAGAAGTTAATATTCAAAATTGAAATATGAATGCTTTAACCCATATACATAATAACACAGATCTGGCACACTTCCAATAATTTTGATTTTGAATATTGGCATGATTACATCCATTTTTAGAGATGGAATCGAAATGATTAATGTGAAAAGTTACTTTAATTACTTAAACAAATCCTCAAACATACTATAATTACTTTCTCAGAGACGCCAAAATTTTGGGTCTAACAATGCATGTTTTCGTATGTTAATTAAAAAAAAAATCAACTATTTCGGGACTGTTAGGAAATGGAACTTAATTACTTAAATCTAAAATCAATAATTTCAGTTCTGACATGGGCTTAACTAAGGTGGGCTTTGGTTCCCTTTCAAACATGGCCCATTATCAATTGAGCCCGAACGTCCAGTATCAACCTCATTATTATCAGTTTTTTCCCCCTCAAGAACAAATTGGGCATTCTTCAAATTCGTTTCTTTGAGGGTCTCGGAGAAATTAACAGCAAAATCATCTTATTTAACATGAAACGATTTGTAAAGCGTACTCTTCTCCAGAGACCAAGATCTACAGACTAAGGTACTTTTCTAATCACTTGCCAGGTGCCACCACTCGAATCATCCAACAAAGCTCAAGACTCACCAAAATTATTTCAAACCCCAAGACAAAATAGACCAAACTACAGTTCAAGAAGACTAAGATTTCCACTGTGGCGAAGTCAAATATTTGGCATGCGGAATCACAACGTTACGTGCTAGCATAATCCTAAAAACGGCACCCATGATGCTGATTCCAATCAGATCCGCATCCATAACAAAACTGATTCCCACACCTGCAACAACAATATTATTCACGCCCCTTCATTTCATTACCGATCAATCCAAATAATTTCATAATAATATCGACTCACACTGATATACACAGGCACAAACCTGCAGGAAATATGAGAGCATCCATCAATCTTTTCCACGAAAAATCTGCATCGAGGGCATCTCCTCCATCTCTTGTTCTTGGCGAGTTCCTTTAGAAGATCATCGTTGTGTGTCTGATCAGCTTTCTGGCTCTGAAACTCTGTGCAATCCATCCCAGCGTGCCACGTCACCTTGCACTGAGCACAGAACAGCCTCCTGCAGTTCGGACACTCCGAGGATGTCACCACCTCGTCCCCATCGTCCACCAACATGGCCGAGCAGTCCTTGAAGGGACAGTAAAATTTCTGGGACCCAAGAATCAGGTTCTCGCACACTGCATTTTCCCACCTCTCGAATAACTCATCTGGGATGATGAATCGACAGAAGAGCGGCTCTATGATGCTTCTGCATTTTGGGTCAGGGCATTTCACCATTGATGATATGTTCTCTTTAAGCTTCGACGCCACGTAGGATGCCATGCAGTCTGAACAGAAAACATGTTCGCAGCTTTTGTTGTCTCTGAACATGTTTTCCATTGCTTTGTCTTCCATGCAAATCCCACAGAAGCTCATGATACTGGAGCTTCCGGAAGATTCACCAATCTCTAGCTTCATTTTCCCCTTTCCGGAATTAATAACGTTAATCTCATCCTCATCGTATCTGAATGTCCTGGACATGATAACTGAGGACATCAGCGCCTCTTGCAGCTGTATCTGTTCTGCATATTTCTCATCGGAGATTGGAAAGATGTCATCTTCATCAAAAAGAACGGAGAAGTAGAATTCATCAACGAAGATATTACCGGCAGAAGAACCCGACGATCCTCCCCGCATGCTATATGTGTGTGTGTACCGTCGGAGAATTTGTTTGACTAATTTCTGTGAGGTTCTGTCCTGTGTAGAAGTCTACTTCAGTAGAAATGCATAGTTTGAAGAAATGGCCAGTAATATAGAAAGAAATGCATGAATCGGCATTTTAGGATTGAAAGAGATTAAATGTTTGACCAATTGGGTGGCGTTGGAATTTGCAATAGTAGTGGTAGTACGTGATAATCACTGAATATTGAAATTTGAAAGGTTATTCCACTCTGTCGTCGTCTCGTTTCCTAAGCCGTATTAGCAATCAAGTTTTAAAGACAACAAAAACAGTTACTGGTATTAAAAACAAGTTCATTAAGTACTCTTCCGATGCTAAATATAAGATCCTTATACTAATGTATACTAGTGTATATACACTAGTATAAGGGTCTTATATGTAGGACCGGAGGAGTATTAAAGTTCCTCTATGTGCTCACATAATATGCAATGCATAATCTAACTCTACGATCTTATATTTGTCAGGCTCATAACTCGATGATATTAAAGTACTTCTAGCTCTTGGGACTTTCTTAGACGTGAGGTTATGAGTTCAAACTCTCACTAGAGAGGTATGTGATTTATTGGAAAAAAATTGAGATTTTACTCTAATAGTATATATATCTATCGCATATTTATCAGTCACCAGCCACCACCGCCCTCTAGTTAAGAGGAAAAATACAAGTTTTGTATAGATAAGGGTTTAGTTTTACTTTTGCTTGGAATGAACAATTTCTTTTTCATCAATAATCTGAAGATTGAAGTGATAGTTTTAAAAGGGACCTAATGGCAAAAAATAGCATCTATCCTCCGTTAATTTTTTATTTTTAAAGAATTAATCCTTGTAAATTATACTAACAAGGGTTAATCAGTATAACTATGAAATTCAAATGAAGCTCTGCTGTTTATAAATTATCGCCATATATGACTCCTAATCCCTTCCAACCTCTGATAAGGGTTCCCTTCGTTGGAAAGTGATGTCGATCGCCGTAGCCTTTCATTTTCGTGAAGCCCCAACATACTTGGGCTTGATTTAACCCGGCCCATCTCCTCACCTCCATCCCTTTTAGCGTACTTTGTAACCGAAAAAAACAAGAATTAAGGATGGCTTCTTGTTTTTGCTACATCAGCATATTTTCCAATTCTGAAATTCATTTCTTAAATTCATATAGTCTTATATTCAAAAGAAGACTTGAGAAAATGAAGGAAATTTGTATGAGATTCATATTTATTATTACATTTATTTTTATTTATTGTCAGATGTATATTATCCATTTACTTTTTGATGAATTTAAAGGGATGCAAGTCTTACAAGTTTGCTGCAATTTGACTAAATAATACTAAAATTCAACAGCAGATAAGGCTAAACATTCAATATGGCCCCTTATGGCATTAGAGAACAATGAATTTTTCATATTTATACGTTCCTTGAGTGAAGAAGCACAATGGATAAGGTTAGATACTTAGTAGGGTCCCTTGAGGGGCACTGATGCACGAAATTTACAAAAAAAAAAGAAGAAATAATATAAAAATAATAATAATCACTTGACTTTTTCCCTTTTATAGGAGTAATGGGGTATATACCAATCCGATTTTATTATAAGCTGCATATCTAACTACTTTACTAAGAAGAGGTGGCTAAGTTATTAAGTTAAAAGACTAAATTAAACTTGACCTTTTCCCTTTAAGGTATATCCAATATAGTTTTTTTGTAATAATCATGATTGTTTTGAAAATTAAACTTAATATGTTATTATTTGAAAATGTTTTATTAACATTCAAAATTTCAATATCAGCATTTTTGTTGATGTTTTTATGATTAAAAAAATAAAAATACACTTTTTACAGTTAGTGAATCAAATTGAAATCTTATATAAAGTTAAAATAACTAAAACTATATTTTAGCAAGGGAAATGAATTGAAGAGCTCGAAACATGAAACTAGGTGCAAAGTATCTTGTGGGCTATGCCTTATCGGTGTTTAATGCTGTGTCCACATACTTTTGCCCCCCTTTTGGCATCCCACAAGATAATGAATGTGATCTCACATCTATCACTAGATTCCTAGCGCATCTCGATCTCAATTCAAAATATTAAATTAGTTAAAATTAAATAAAAACATTTTAAAACCTAGCTAAAAATGCCTTATTGAATATTTTAATTATTTGATTCTCAAATCGTTATCCATATAATTTATTGCAAGTTTGGTCATGGATCTGACTAATTGTAATTATTATATTGTATTTAGAACTATTCATTTACCAAAAACTTAAGTTATTTGATTGGACCCGTTTCAGGCATGATACAATGTACTCCTGCTATTTCAACGTTGGAATTGCTATACGCCTCCTCCGATCTACAAATACATATATATTTATTTGTATTATAAAACTTTTAACTACTTTATATGGATAAAGAAAATAATTTACAAATTGATTACATCATCATAAATTTGTTGGAAATTTTCAGTAGCTTCTAGATTGCCCTTATTAAATACACTTGACATATTTCTAAAGGCAAGCATATATATTTCCCAATATATACGTCATCTCCTTAGTTATGAAACGAAATAATGAAATCAACATCTCTTAATTGTATAACAAAACAAGGGCTTGTATGAAAAGGAATTAAGTATAATATTTAAATATTTTGCAAAGTAATTCATATTTAACATCAAAAGATCTTTTTTAATTAGAAGGTGACTTATAAAATAGGTCCCATATTATATAAACCTAGCCTACAAAAAATTTGCAATTTTCAAACATAAAGCACTTGCTACTTTTTTAAGAAATTAATTAAGCCACATGGCCAAACTTTACAGTTCAGATACCAAAGTATTAGAATATTACTCAATAATATGTTTTTTGGACTCACATCAATATGTTCAGTTCCAAGTGATGAGTTACTCAATGAACACGATATTCCTTCAATTGCTAATTAATCGCAACGTGACTTCTTGATTGAGAAATATCTGTCCCACTCTTCTTTAGAATATATTCTAGTGCAACATGTTGCTACTACAAAGAACTGAGAATAATTAAAGTTTCTTCTTTGCATTGCATAGTTTTAGTTTGTTTTTTCCTTTATGTATTGTTTTATTTTTATGTGTCATCTAGATGTGTGTATTTATTTAATTTGTTCCAATGAAAAAGTATAGTTATTATATATTTTGCTATGTGACAAGAATAGAAACTAATTAAGTGGCAGTTCAAAATTCTTTCAAGAATTTTTTTCCATCAAAACTTGGCCCTGATAATAAAGCAAAAATATCTGTTATATAATTAAAAAAATCACTATTTTCCTTCTCATAATTGAAGAGGAAGGGAGAATGATAAAGAGTCTGAAAAATCTTGCTTATCCATTGTGGAGCAGCCTGTATTTGACAAAATGTTACAATCGGTTTCATCTCATCGATCAAGGTCCCCTACTTATCCACCGGTTTCATTATATAAAACAAAGTAGATTTACATATATCTAGAGATCTTATTTCTTTTCTGGCTTCCTTTTGTTTTTTTTTCTCTTGAGTTTCAGAAAATATTAAGAGATTTTGAAGCCTATGATGATCCTCTTAATCTAAACTACGAAACAATGGCCCAGTGGTTTTGGTGATGAGCACAAGACGAGGGAATAGGCTTAGATTGAAGTCTGTGCAAGCGAGCATCATCGAGAATACGACGAGCATCGTTCCAACAATTTCTTGGAGACGATGATGTTCTTTGCTGCTTCGTATACTCTTCTAATTCCTTCATCTCGTCCATCACTATCTGTCTGTTCCTACACTCTATGCTGCAGAATCCTTGGTCCCCTCTGCATCATATCAACCAACAATTAAATTTCCAAACTTTGATCACAAACTGTAATTTCATCAAACACCCATATTTTAACATGTAAACTTATGACTACCCATCGGTAGATTATTAATTCTAAAGAACAATATAGACGTGTGCGTGCGTGCGTGTCTCAGTGTGTGTATAAGCCCAGAATCAGATACCTGTCAAATATGAACATGACAAAAAGAATATAAATAACTCATGTTACTGTCTTGCACGTGTTTGTCATTTGGCATTCCAAATTATGAACTGGGATTTCCATGAGTGTAGAACTTCAAAAAGGAAATACATATATATGCAAGGCAAAATCAACCAAGCAATAGAACCTGATCTATCTCTACAAAGAGCCCATTTCTCTGCTAAACTTAGATGTCTGGTCTGATGATAATTATTCAGAAAATTTCAGATTCACAAAACAGCATAGGATCTTAATTATAGCGTAAATACTGTGTCTTAATTGTGCATGAATCAGCGTTAGAGGACCTTAAGGTTTAATTAACAATACCTGTACATGTAAATGTCCTTGTCGAGGCTGAGAATCTTGTTGCAGAGGGAACAAGTTTTGAGGAAGCAAGTGGTAGCACCGATGGTGAGGTTTGATTTTCTGAGCGAAGATTTGACAACAACATTGTTGGATTTAGTCTTTGGATTGGTGATTTGGGTTACGAGCCTTAGACCAATTACATCCATGTGGGTCTCGTCTGTTCTTCTTCTTCTCCCTCCGCCATCTTCAGCAGAAGAAGAAGTGGAATTCCTTTTCTGATCAGTGAGCTTCTTCTTCTTCTTCTTCTTCTTCAGCTTCTCTGGTTGTTCTTCTTCAACCTTGAAAGGGCTCATGAACTTTGGAAGCATCGTGGAACGAAGCTAAAGCTGATTGGGGAGAGAGAGAGATGGGTGAGATCTGTGAAGAGAAGAAGTGGTGAGTATTTAAAGAAAATGTGAACCCACAGACACCCATTTACAACATTATTACCTTTGTGTCTTCATCTGTTTAGCTCTCTCTGCACTTTGTAACACGTGCTACATTGTTTCATTATTCACAGCTTCTAAATTTTAAGTTTAATTTATAAGACAAAAAATGATATTATCTTCGTTCTTAATTATAAGACCTAGTTGACTAATTTAAAAAGATTAAGAAAGTATAGTTATTTGTAATAAATATGTGTTGTTTTTCCTAAAATATCCTTACTAATCAAGTATATTGGATAGAACTACCATTATTAGAAGGATTATCTTAGGAAAAAAATATATAAATATGAGAGATAAAGTGGATTGAGGTCTTATATTTAGGACCAAAATAAAAATTAAACAAGATCTTATATTAAGAACCAGAGGTGGTATATTCTAATTTTAATGTCTCTTATTCCTGTATTTTAATTTATTCTAAGCGCAGCTGTATTTCAACTTTGTATCATATCTGGTATTACATGAATGGCCTTTTCCTTTTCCTTCCACTCCACTGTCTCCATGTGGAGCTTTTTCTATGGGCCAAAAAAATTAGATAAAGCATTTTAATAAGTAGCCGTAATATGATAACGTTAATTAAAAAATAATACAATTTTTAAGCGTATAAATATCTAATCCCAGTACATAAATCATGGTTTAAATTTTTCTTAAATATTGTATCTAATTTTCCACCATTCAAAATTAAAATATATAGAAAAATGTTTTAAAAAAAGTAAAATAGAGACATCCGGAACCCAATGAAATAAAATATTTAAAAGTATATAAAAAAATCTTAATTACTATTAAGTTAGGCAGAGATGTTTCAAAGTGAAAACTTGAATATAGATAAATAAATTGCATGCAAAATTATAAAAGTGAGGAATAAAATAATAAGAGAAGAGTTTGGAATAGTGGAAGAGGTTGAGAGAGAGACAAGGAGGCGAGTGAATTGTGGCAGAGAAGAATATAATAATACGATGGGAAATAAATTTGCAGAGATTCCCTTGGTCCTTTTTTTTTTTTTTTGTGTGGGATACGTTGATGGCTCAATTCCCATCACAAAAGAATCCACTCAGAGGAAGAGAGAATAAATGCTCAGAGAAAATTACTAAAAGGGATCTCAGAGGAACCTAACATTATTGTTTGTTTTTTAGTTTTTCAGGAATAAAGGGACTGATGTGATTTAGCTATTTGTGTTAGTGCCCAAATATATTTTTCCTTCTTATGCAGAGCACAACACATGTAATTATATTCATATACAAAATTACATCATTTTTTTTTCTAAATTATGCCCAATTTTCATGAATTTAATATTCTATTTTAGAAGATGTGACCCAGGAGAATACAAGACTAGACAATTTAACAAAAGAGAGAAATATGATGTATTCTTCAACTGAGATATTTTATTACATTCACACTCTTATGAAATTGTTGGCCAAAAAAACACTCTTATCAAATTGGAGGGCGCGGGTGTCTTACAACTTATATATTTCCTTTTTTACTGTTCAACTAATATATTTATATTTATTCTATAAAAGATGGAACACTGATCAATTTAATTTTTAGAAAAATACTATAGAATCAACCCAAATATTTTAAAAAGGATGTGTCAACTTAAATGTAAGTTGTGTTGAGATGAATGAACAAGAGCCTGTTTGCATCTGCAATTTATAAGTATTTTTACGTAAATTGAGATAAATTTTTTTTCATATATTTATCTCATATTTTATAAATTATGATTAAAAAAAACTGTTTCAAGCGATTTCAAACAAACCTCATATTGATGTAAATATGAAACAAGAATGACTAATTGAGCAATATGCTTACCGCCGAATAAGTTGTCTTCGTTGTCAATCACGAAGGGGTGACACGTCAGCTACTTTGTTTCCTCGCAACACAAATTTTGTCTCTGCTACCAAATAATTAAGGCTTCTGTATAAACCATATATAAATAGGTTGGCAGCACAAGCAGGCACGCGCTGGCACATTAATATTAATTTTTTTTTTTGACCGGAACATTAATATTAATATTTATACTCATAATAAATAAACTGTTTTACTTGATCTTCGAATAAATAAATAAACTTTTTTACTTGATCTTCGCATATTTTCATGATATAAAGTTAACCCTATTTATTTAATAGGACAATAATCATTGCACTTGATTCTCCAATATATGTTATAAAGACATCCTCTTTTCTTTTTGGATTGTATGAAACAAATATATATAAAAAATTTTATCTTGTAAAGTACTCCTCCGGTCCTAATTATAAGACCCAATTGACTTATTTGAGGAGATTAAGGAAGTAAGTTAAGTTGGTTATTTATAATAAATAAGTGTTGTCATTCCTAAAATATCCTTGCTAATTAAGTATATTGGCTAAAACTATCATTATTAGAAGGATTATCTTGAAAAAAAATGCATAAATATAAGAGACAAAATGGATTGAGTCTTATAATTAGGACCAAATAAAAAGTCAAATTGGGTCTTATAATAAGGACCGGAGGAGTACAAAAATACTTTCCCCTTAAGCTCTCCCGAACAGACTCATTTCTAAGAAAAATTCCCAAGCAATTTTCGTCTTCTCATCATTTAGTTCTCTAATTAAAGTATGATTGATGTACAATAATATATGAGGGTTATAAGAATTAAGATAATTTTATTTCTTTAAAAATCTAGCATCTTCAAGTTTTCCCCCTAACGAGTAATAAATATCTGAGAAGCTTCATTCTGAGCAAATAAAAGCATCCCATTTATATCTAAGCTGCTGCAACGTGCACAAAACTTGGTACAAAATTGGGCCAGCAGACACATGATCCCCAATGAGAACACTATCTTGAAAAGAATAAGGGGACAAACGTAGTACATGGAAGGCTGTGCCTACAACTACAAGTACAGTTGGATAAGCTCATCACTAACAACGGATGGAGTAAGAACGCCCAAATCAGTGAAAAGCAGTGTCAAGTATTGTGGAGGAGTATAATCCCTCGCAGACCTTTCAACCTCAACCTTGGATGGAATAGGCACACCAAAATCAATGGGGAGTAAGGCAGGGGCCAAATCCTTTTGGTCCAAAGGATAAAGACGAGCAAACTGCAGAGTAAGACATAACAAAACATGAAGACATGGAATATCCATTTCCGGAAAAAAAAAATGCTATACTTGTGGAGAAGGATCAACGCGTAATGAAATCTTTATTGAGATTTTTGGAAGAAAAGTCGAAGAGTCTCAGCGTGTGGTTCATATATACCTTGTAGCTTTCAGCTGCCACATAAACTGGTTTGTTCATGCTGTGTGCAACCAATGCAATTTGGTAGGTTCCCATCATATTAATTATACCCCCACTCTCGACCACACCATCTGCCCCCACAAATATCATGTCCACCTCGTCCATGGTATATGCTACCGCCGAGTCTATCAGGAGTTTCACGGGGATATTAAGTTTGGCCAGTTCATTAGACAGCTGCAAGCCTGATCGGTCTGGCCTTCCCTCTGCACATTTAGGAAATGAAAGTTTGAAACTTTAGAGCTACAACCATGATTTACAGTTCAAAATGAGTATAATCATGGGAAATTATGGGTAGAAATATAGTTGCACACCGCCCAGTGGCAGGGTCATCAGAATTTAAAATAAACACATGCGCGCGCACAACTCTCCTGCTAGAAGCTTCACAGAGAAGCCAGTACGGAATGTGCTTTTTATAAAACCGCATATCCTCATCCAACTCATCCAAAATTCAGGTTGAGCTATGAAGGTCAATTACTGTAAAATCAATATCAATACACAATAGAATCTATAGTAAAAGCACAGCATTTACAAGCTAAGAATAGTGTAACTCATTCTTCAAATGTCATGCAGATGCATTGCATGAGAAAATTTGTCTATTTTAGAGGACAAGGATCATGAATTAAAATAATTTGACCAGGTGCTCTATTTAAATATCCATTAAATGTCTAGTTAAGAGTTTGAAGGGGGGAAAACCTGTACATAAAACCCGAAACCGTTTCTTATTTTGTGCTGACAATCTAAGAACTTCAAGGACAACTCTGGAATAACCATGAACTAAAATTGTACAGCCATCAAATATAAAATCTTGAGCCAACATTGCAATAACTTTACGAGCCTGCAAAACAAAGTAATTTTTGCAATAATGAGCATGGTTGAGTTCATGAATCTCAAAGCAAACAATTCAATGACTCACCTTGTACGAGATTTCCCCAAACTTTTCAGCACGTTCAATTAATCGTGACTTTGCAGAATTAAAGTCTTCATATTCTAAGGCAGCAGTCCTAGTTACATATCGCATAAACAGATCGCAGCCAGCTGTCAAAGAGATAGAGGTTGTATCCCAGGACTGTACAGCAGATAGAAGTTAAAAATTAATCAGATAATTCAAGAATTCTTGAACATCCGCATGGCTGCACCTATTTCCTACTCTTAACTTCTTTACTCATAGGGTGTTTTAAGCTCTAGATGGATAACTTTTCAGTGCATTAAAACTGTGAAAAGAAGCACCACTCAAAGACTGAGATCGAAATTCATACCAGAAGTAGGCTTAATACCAATAAAAAATAATCACTACTATATTAATATTATTTTTCATCACATACATTATGGAACGAACTGCATTCTCTCTGCTATCAACAACGAGCATCTTCATGCATTGCCTTCTAAAAAAAGTAAAGTCCTAGTACCCAAAATCTCTCAAGGATAATGCCATGCATATGTGTCAATTCGATTTCTGAAAGACTTCTTCCCCTTTTTTTAAGTACAAATGGGCAAGCTGGAACAACTTGAAAGTGAGCATGATTGAACCCACAGCGACTTCCCACAAGCACAGGGAACTTAGCGTCACAAGGCCATTGGTGAAAGGCTTCTTACATGGGCTAAGTGATCCCAACAGTTTTCTTACTCAAGTAAGATGATAACTTGAAATTTAACTTTTAGAAAGAAAAATAAAACCATGTGAACTATCAACAGTTACACATTTATGAATGAAGAGCTTATCATCATTATGATCTGTAATAGCCATACTCTAATAACTTATTTCCTCCTTTTGGCCAATCAATTAGACAAGTGACGTAATGTTGAAAAAATGGAAGCAATATATTATTGTTTTTCAGAATAAAATATTCCTCAGAACTTTAAGGCATCATTGTGAGTAGGGAAAGTGGAAGGCTAACTGGGGAAATATTATAGCTGGAAACTAGCCACAATATTTGGACTAAGATAACTCATTCCTTCTGTTTGCTACTTCTGCTTAAGCCTTGGTGACACATCAGAATGTCCAAATATTTTTTATGAAGGCCTTGGTGACACATCAGAATGTCCAAATATTTTTTATGAAGGCCTTGGTGACACATCAGAATGTCCAAATATTTTTTATGAAGCTTTCTACTTATGTAAAGCAACGCAATCTTCTTTCTTCCTCTCTGTTCTGTCCAACTTCAGGCGACAAAAACAGACCAAGGAGAAAAGAAAAGTGTAGCGAGTGATCTGTGAGCCTTGAACTATTGAACTTCTGCCCTGAGCGTTCTTCTTCCTTTCGGTTTTGTTCCAGGCTTCAACTGCTTTAATAGTTTTTTCCCCTACATGTTTACAAAGCCTAAAATACTGACAGCACAAAAAAAAAACTTATGGGATCATTATCCCTTTGGGCTTAGGATCCCGAAATATGGTCATGACTCATAAGTTCCATGTTTTGAGGCACCTTACCAGAGAAGGGTTGGAGTAGAAAAGGTTCATCATAACGAACTAGTGTTTGGTGTGCTTTCATTGAGACAGGCTGAGGCACAAAAGGGTAAGCCTACATTGGATTAAGGTGTGTTGTGTAAGAAACCATTCAGAATTCTGGAGGTTAAGTGGAACTGCGAGGGACGAAATAACTACGGTGGTGCAGGCAGCCGCAAGCTCTCTGCTATTTGGGATACTGGGGGACCTCGCCTAATAAGGATAGCTTCTTTCAACAATCACCTAATGCATCATATTTTGGGACGGCCTCTCCCTTTAGTAATTTACTCAATTCCACTTAAAAGTTCAGCAGATAAAAGAGCTTGCGATTCAATTCATTCCGATACATACACTCACTTCTCAACAAAAATCAACAGAATATACATGATCAAATATCAAATGCTTTGTGTATAAAAACAGCCATATATTTTGGGTATAAAGCCTTAAATCAATAACTGTTTCCTTATAACTGCTCAAAGTTTGTTACTTTGCTTACTTTGAGAGAATCCGAAGCCTTCTTGAGCTCAATTTCCAGCTCCATCATCGTCGTAGCCTTACTTGACCTAATCACAGCCGCCAAGGCACGAATGGCCGCCACGGCTTCGGCCAAATCAGGCTGTTTCCGCCAGTTATTGAACTCATCGATCACGCCAAACGGTTTATCAGTATCCAACCCCCTGACATCACTTCCCGAAGTAGCATTGCCATCTGGATTCTGGTCGATAGCAGCCTGAGCCTGGGCGAGCCAGTCACTGGTGACAACGCCATGGTGCGCCGCCCTAGTCTGATAGTAAGCAGAAATCGTCGGGTTAGGGTTGGGGTTCTGAGGGGCATCGGCCATGGAAGTCCGGGTAGTGCCAGTGCCACCAGGAGGGGAGGTTGAAAATGCGTCGGGTGCCAAAGCGGCGTCGTTTTGCAGCCTGTTGTCGAGAATAAAAGATGCTGATCTATACCACATCTATACGTGGAGGTACGAGCGAGACTAGTCACTTTCTCAGGTAATTTATTCCCCGGAGAGAAAAGGAGGAAAGAGGAAGCAAGTTTGCCGCAAAAGTATTGAAGGAATCTGATGCCTTATGAAATGGAAGATCGGGGTTCTGCAATCGCAAATCACTGTGTTTAAGAAAGAAAGAGAGAGGGAAGATAATGGTGTTAAACCGGGCAATAAGCAACTGTCAAGAAGCGTCTCCCGCAAAAACGACCTCGTTTCCAGTTTTCCCCGTTTCAAGGCTGCTAATAATAATCATGATTATTAAAATTTTTAAAAAAGGAAGGGGTATCAAAGGAGAAAGGACAGGGCTTTGCTATGGCTTAATTGTTTTGCCATGCCGTTGGGTGGATTTGTATTTGTAATGACAAATGCTTATTTGTTTTGGCCAAAAAAAAAAAAAGACAAATGCTTATTTTATTTGTGTTGATTGATCTTTAACTGTGATTTTAGGTTTAAATCAGCTCAAAGTTGCTCAGCATAGCAAGTGTTATGTTTAAGGTAACTACTTTTCAATTTATTTTATAAGCATATCTCCGGCTGATTGCAAGGTTAACTGAAATTCCACTGAATGGGTTGTTAGAAAATTAATGTGATTTATATAAACAGTTACTGTGAATTTATATTCTATATCGGATTTTTTTATGCAAATATTGATAATTAATATATATATATCATCAGTTTCTTTTTTTTTTTTTGGGTGGGCACACCATACAGGTATCTTTTATTTGGACAATTTTGTCATTATTTAATACTCCTCCGGTCCTTAATATAAGACCCATTTAACTAATTTGATTAGATTAAGGAAGTTAGATAAATTGGTTAATTATAAGAAAAGTGACACATTTTTCTTAAAACACCATAATCATCTTTCTTAATATCCCATCTCCCTCTTCTATTTGATTATGGTTGAGGGAGTATCCATAGGGGTAATTTAGAGAAAAATGATAAATATGGGAAATGGGTCTTATATTTAGGACCAAAACCAACTCAATAATTGGGTCATATATTAAGAATCGGAGGAATATTAAATATGGGCACTTCTTTTATAGAGGATTTGAATCTTAGATTATCATGTTATGGAAGATTAGTTTCTTCTACTAGACCCAACCCCTGTTGATAGTTTCTTTTTTTTTTTTTCTTTGTAAGAAAAAATTGTAGGTAAGTTGTACTAAAACTTATGACTTTGTGGATTATGAACTACTTTCTTAGTTAATTCTCGTTGGCTTGTGGTTTTAAAAAAGTTTAAAAAAAGGCCGTTAGAAACAGTCTGCTTTCCTTCCTTAGTCCCACTAATGAAGGTTTGTCGGGCTTAGGCCTAGGCTTCTGCATTCACCGAGAACATCTTTTGGGCCCCTGGTTCCTTTGCTTTTTGGGCTTAAATTCTTGGGCTTCAGTCAATTGCTAGAAACAAAAACGTTATGTTTTTTTTCCCCGCTTTTAGTTCTTTCTATTTTCAAGGGAGAAGGGCGAGATCAAAGAGCTCCAAAAAGAAAATGCTTTTTTATTTCAACCCTCTCTATTAGCCTAGAATGAGCATGTGATCATCACATTTGAAATACAAAAGTTATATGGCAATGGTCATGTTTTAAAAAAAAAAAGATTTATCGTTGTGATTGCTTTCATAAATTAATAATACAAAAATATTATTTTATATTTTTAATTTAAATTAAAAATATCAAAATAATAAAAATTCATATTTAAATTCATATATAGACGATGTACATATGGCTAGAAAAAATTGAAACAAAGGTGATAATGTGGCGGAATAATTGATGATTTTTTTATGGAAGATTTTTCCCTCAAAATAATTATAATATGCTTGATGATTCTCCAGCTGGCATGCTGTAAGAACCACAAGCGATGTCTGATTGATCAATGCCATAAAGAAAGGAAGAAGAAAAAATAAAATAAGAGCGATGAGGTGGGAAGATATATACTTGTACCAGAACAAGTGAACGACCTGAAATTGGTAAGGTTTTTAAGCAAACAATAATAATAATGAAGTCCCTCTCCAAATCACCGACTTCACGAGATTGCGTACTTTCCATTTTCAGCGTCCTCTTCAACCTCCACCTCACAGCATCGGAAAATCGAAGTTGATCACAAAAAAGAAAAAAAGGCCAACAAAAAAAATTGGCAGAAACATACAGCTGGAAATGATTGTTTTTCCTATCCAATAATGCTGTTGCTTCTCTTATACCAACCCAAGGCCAACTGTTGCCTTCTCTGTGGAACTTCCCTACCTGCTTCATTACTTTTTCGTGGTCACCTAAAGGTCTTTGAGTGGAAATAAAATTCCCTTCACATACTTATTTCATATTATCTCCGATTTTAATTATAAGAGTTAGTTGATTAATTTAAAAATATTAAAAAAAAATAAATTAAGTTAGTTATTTATAATAAATAGGTGTCATCTTTCCTAAAATATCCTTACTAATCAAGTGTGTTGGCTAGAATCATTATTATTATTAGAAGGACTATTTTGAAAAAAATACATAAATATTAGAGAAAAAGTGGATTGTAATCTTATATTTAGGATTAAAATAGAAATCAAATAAAGTCTTATATTAATGATCAGAGGTAGTATTCTGTAAATTACGATAAAAAAGTTATTACTTAAACCTATTACTTAAGCCATTCTAAACAAGCATTCATCTCCATATTACTAAACGCGTTCAAGAAAGATTTATTTTGAAGATTTTTTAGTTTACACATTTAAAATTAAAAAAGAATGTGTCTACATTTAAATGCTGTACCATTCATCCCAATACTTGATGAAAATAATTTATTAAATTCCAACAATTGGGATCATAGAGCTGAATTGCCATCCGAAAATGATGCCTAAGTATATTGTGAACATTATTATATTTTGACATTTTAGAGATTAATAATTAATTATAAAAAGTAAAAAGAGGAAGTAGGAGATTACTATTTTGAGTTATGCAAGGGGTAAAAGAGAAACCGAGCCTTGTTCCCCAAGTTAGCGACTGTGATGGGGTCCAAAATCAGAAACATCATTTCACAAGGAAGGAAAAACCTTAAAAAGCACTTCTTCTATTGGACACACCCCAAAAAAATTAATTTACTTTAATATATCAATAAATAATTTTTTTAAAAAATGAGGTCGGATCCTTTCCTCGATAATACCGAAGCCGGTTTTCCGAATGTCTGTGGTCAACCCCGGCTGAGTTGAACCGCGGTTTGCGCCGTGCACGCGCTTTTGTTAATTGGATAATGTTGAACGAACGGCGACTTTTCTTCAATCGGTGATTTAAAAAAAAAAAAAAAAGTCCACTTGGCTAATGTTTACACCCCATATAACGGCGCCTCCAGGCTCCAGCTTTGTCACCTCATTTGTGTAATCGTTTATTATTTACTATTTTAATTTAAATATTTCATTCAATAAAATATTTATATTGAATGCTTTATCAACATAATTGGTAATTATTTTGGAGAAATCATGAGTGGTATAATGAGGGATTCTTCTTTCCCTTTTTAAGTATCTTAAAGAAAACAAAAGTGTCAGGTTGATGTTTTAGTTGTAAATGAAAAATATAAATGATGATTTAAAAATATTAATCATCTTGAAGCATGATTAATATTGATATAACAAAAATAATCTTCTTAATTTTAAATTTAAATCTTTCGGATGTGTCATGCAGACACGTTCCCCGGGTCACGATCTGGGTCACATTAAAAAAAAAAAGGCGAAAACCATGAAGACTACTAGCTTCGAAAACGACAGGATAAATGAAGACCAAAAATTGTGGCCCGGTTCTCATGATCAAAACTTGTGCCGGGGACAATTTCAGCTTCAGAGGTTTTATAATTCTTAGTCTAAATCTCTATTTGCTTGATTCTTCTGCATATAAATTGAGGACGGATGACTTGGAAGGAAGTGTTTCGAGAACGATCATGATCCAAAATTGAAGTTCACAATGATTTATTCTGAAACGTCTCGTTTCTCGCTCGCTGTTCTGTTCTTTGATTTCACCTGCAGCTTACCCTCTGCCCCCCTGGTTCCTGTGTCTCTGTTTGGGCTTTCTCCTGTACAGGGTCTGTGTTAAGTAGGCGACACCAATATTGCTTTAGGCCCATTTAAACTGAAGAAGGTCTTCTATATCAATTTATCGGGAATCTAATCATCATCCTGTAGGACTCTGCTTGAAGTATCTGTTTGATCACCTGGGCATCAGGAGTGAGTTTGATTGGTAAAGTTCTTGACAAGAATTCTTACGCATTGATGAAGAAGAGATTTCATGCAGATTTGAGCTTTTAACTTATATTCAGTGATTTTGCATCAATCGTTTAATTTGCTGTGGTTTTTCTGATAGCAATAGTCTAGCCGGTGTCTATGTTTTATGGTGTTGATAAATTTGTGATCAGAGTTGGTTGGGCTCAAAGAGGAGTAGGATTTCGTTTACTGAGGTGACTGTTGGTTTTTCAAAGTGTTGAATAGGTGAAGAAGTCTCATTTTGGACCTAGAGTAAGCCAGAAACTGCTCCAACGACACTGGGGATTGTCTGTGGATCTGGAAAATTGAATTTTGGATTCATTGGGATTTCCTTTGAAGTTTTGGTGGCTGTTACTTAATATCTTCGGGATTGAATTCATTCCTTTTCAGTTTCTTGGTTTTGACTGTGGTTGAATCTTACAGCCAAAACATGGCGTCAAAGGAATAGGCAGTAGTAAATGGGCTTGTCATGATGAACAGAGAAGCTGGATTATTTGTCAATGGATGCTCCAGAGAAGACTTTCTCTGAACTTATCAGTATCATCAGGTCTTGGAATCCCTGGAAACCTGAGCCAGATGAGGTGTCAAAGGTTTTTTGGATGCCTGACCAGAGTTGTACGGTGTGTTATCAGTGTGATTCGCCGTTCAACTTAATTAATCGCAGACATCATTGTCGTCTTTGTGGACGCATTTTCTGTGCCAAATGCACAACAAACTCAGTTCCAGCTCCATCTAGTTGCCAAAGGAATACTTGGGAAGAGCAGGAAAAGGTTCGGGTTTGCAATTATTGTTACGAACAATGGGAGCAGGGCACGGTTGCTTCTGAGAAAGAGATTCAGGTTTCTAATCAGGATAACAGTGCTTCACTGTCAACTTCAAGCTCAACCAGCATCAATTCGTTTGGAACTGCTAATAACAGTACAGCC